AAATTAAATCATTTTATGGTCACTGCTACCCAGATATTCTTTTATGTGGACGTTCGTAATATTAAACTCTCCATGGTTTGAGATTACCAGGTCCAGCAGAGCATCATTCCTAGAAGGGGCCTCTATGAACTATACCATAAAATTGTCCTGTAGTAGGTTTAAAAATGTTTGCCCTATAACTGTTCCTGCAGTACCATTACTGCAGTCAATTTCTGGGTAGTTAAAATCCTCCATTATTAGCACTGTCCCAGCCCTTGCAGTCCTTTCGATCTGTGCAAGGAGCTGAGTCTCCACCTCACTGGGAGGCCTATAACAAACTCCAATGATTACCTTTGTAGTATGCACCCCCATGTGCAATTCCACCCATAATGCTTCAGCCTCATCACACTCTCCATCAACTAGGTCCTCTTTCACACTCGCTCTGAGATCACTTCTCACATAGAGACAGACACCACCTCCTTTCCTATTTACCCTGTCTCTCTGAAGGATACATAGCCAGGAATATTATTGGCCCAGTCATGTGAAGAATGAAGCCAAGATTCAGCAATACCAATTAAATCATAGTTCTCTTCATGCACCAAAGCTTCCAACTCACCTATTTTGCTTGACTAACTTCTGGAATTGGTGAACAATTTAATTCATTGACACCTTGTGCACACATATTTTGCATATTATTATTATTTTATTATTATACAGGACTTATATAGTGCCAACAGTTTGCTCAGCGCTTTACAATATAACGGGAGACAATACAGCAAACAATACAGTTCAATACAAGAGGGATAGGAGGGCCCTGCTCCTTACAATCTATGAGGGAGGGATTTTTTATTTTCATACAAATGGTACCAATTCCACATGGGAAACGTCTTATCATCTGCCATAGCCCTCCCCCCATCTTTCCCCATTCCACCCACCAATAAATACTGACCCCTGTCTGATCTGTCTACCCGTTATATAATCTAATTCTCACTCCCCCCTCAATCCTAGTTTAAATACAGCTCCAGCCTTCCCATAAACCTCTCCCCCAGCACAGCAGACCCCCTTCAATTTAGGTGCAAACCATCGCCAGCATATAGGTTGCACCCCAATGACAAGTCAGCCCAGTACTCTAGAAACCCAAATCCTTCCCTCTTACACCAGGTCTTTATCCATGCATTGAGTTCTCCAATCATCCCCTGTCTTTCCTGAGTTGCATATGTCACAGGTAATATTTCAAAGAATATCACCTTTGAGGTCCTTCCCTTCAACTTGCAGCCTAGTTCTTTAAATTGATTCTTAAGGAGCCTCCACCTTCCATGTATTCTGTCATTGGTGATGGGGGAGATGAGGTTGTAAAAGGAAATGGGTGCCTCTGAAAGCTCAAGAATGGCTCTCCGACTGTCCCTTGATTGTCATAGTGTAGACAAATTTCCAAGCAGTGGATCTTTTGGTAGAACTGGTGGACACAGCTGCAACAATACTTTACACATCCAGAGGTATAAAGTTCTATCCCACTAAAAGGCGGAAACAGTACATACATAACCCACCCCCCTCAGCTGCCTCTGCCGCCTCGCTTATTAACTTCCATGAACAATTCCTTTTCTTCGTCCTGTCCCAGTGGAACGCGCTACTTTATATTCCTCTACACATTCCCTACCACTCTCAGCAATTATCAGTTCATACTCTTGTCTCTTGTCTCCTCCACTCACAATGATCTTCACCTAGGGCCCAGCCCTGCCCTTACTATACGCCTACTGGTCCCTGATTAGAGCACACTTAATCTCCTTTATTTCCATGCATGGCCATCTTCTCTCAACTATCTTTCTGTCACTTCCACTGATCATGATCAGCGTACGCTCTGTCTCCCCTTTCTTCCCTCATCCATGATCATCTCATCTCTACCACCTTTCTTTCACTTTCCATGTCCATGATCAGATCCTACTTGGTCTCGTGTTTCTTTCTTTGGTCTATAATTATATCTACTTTCTGCCTTCTCTCTCAATCTAGTACTAAGTCAACTATCTCTTTGTCTCTCTCTTTATCATACACTCCTCAGCGTCCTTTTGCAATCATGCTCAGCCCAATTATAACTATTCTCCCAAGACCATGATCAGCTTATCGGCCACCTCCTCTACTCCCTGTCCTCTAGTCTCTAATACTCTTACTCATAGTAAATTTCTTTTTGGGTAGTAATGCATACCAGTCTGTTATGAATCATTCAGAGGGCAAATTAATTCAGCCCTTTCATGAATGGGCACATATTTGTCATTATATATTTACAACTAAAAAAAGTTTCAGTTAATAAAATGAAACCTTTAATATATATGTATTTTTTTCAATTTGTACATATACGCATTTTATTTCAGCATCCCTTATTATACAGACACTTTTTTACTAGTTGCATTAAAAACTGCAGGGGGGCATTTAAAAGTCCTGATGGAATTAGGACATTCTTCAGTAACTGTCATACATGTACTTTCCACGTTTTCTCCAGAATTCACTGTAACTGCAATTAAATTCACAGTTCATTAAACAGCCCCTCTTTCTTCCCTGCTCATTCATATAAACAGCAAAATACATGTACAGCATTAACTTCACTAAGTGATCTATAGAACTCAATAGGCAATACACTACAGATTACAGGAGTATTCTCCTTACCAGACCAATTGTCCAAATTTTGGAAACTAGACATACAATTATTATGTGATCTGTTTAAAGAAATATATATTTAACCCAGGTTCTTGGTGCATCAATGCTTGCTAATTTGGATAGAAAGGTGCAAAAGCATATTTTTTGGTTTAATTTAATGGGCACAGGCCAGTATACGTATGTGCACATGATGACACTAGTGCTGTAACCAAGCTTGTTATAGTTATATTTGCAATACATCTCAACAGCTCCGTCTCTTATAATCAGCTTGTGCAAAAGTAAATGCACCCTACACGGTTTCAAGATGCTGTGAAGGTATTTCAAACAGAGTGGTTTTAGTTGTGAACATGCAGAGATGCCTAAAATTAATCCAGCAAAAAGCGTGTACTAAATAATTAAATTTGTGATCTAGGGAGAGTCAGTAGGATTCAGTTTGTAGTAGTCTGTTACAATATTGTAAGAAATAACATATGGTTTGATCATTTTGAACTCTTTCTTCTGAGATCTAATAAAACATTGCTGTTCTAAAAATACAGTTTGGGAATCTTTTTTTATTTATGGGAAAATGCAATTAAAAATCTTTCATAATCACTCTGATCCTGCAAATGTTTACAGCAGAAAATATTCCTTCATCTCTTCATTCTACAACAGATGTTGAAACATACCATTTTGTTGAGGAATATTAGCTAGAAAACTATTACCCTTTTCACTAGTGTGTGTAATATCAGAACAAAAAGTTTGCTAATCAACTGCAATATGACTCTAAATCCATACAAGACCACACTAGGAAATTTTCCATTGCCAATGCCAGATCATTAAGAAAAGACTGAGCATGCTATTTGGCAGTACATAGGATGTTCACATTTATGAGAATTCATGAGCATGTATCTACACAAGGGTATCATGGAGACAAAAGGTGACTACCTTTGAAATATTACAACTTTAACACAGTAATCAGGACACATATACATGGGTGATAGGTCTGCTTTAAATCTATACAATGTGCGTTTAATGTTAAAGTAAATATAGTTTTTTCCTTTAGTATGAGGTCTGATAAAATGTATGGAGTGATGCTTGTGTTTGTCTACTGAGCAATTTATCGACAGAATAGATATGTGTATTTCCCTTATATCTCAAATACAAAACTAAGCTTTTCTCAAGGCTATGATAAATGTGTGCAAAGAATTTCTGGTTGTATAAATCTAGTTTACAAATATAGGAATGCATCTGGAAAAATCATTTTAACAAACATTCTCTAAATGAAAATATATGACTCATAATGTGAGGAGTGATGGTGTATACACCAAGCATTGCATGCTCTGATCATTGTGTTTCATGATATTCCCTCTTGTCTAAACATGTGCTCCAAGTACAATAGAGACCGATGTCTATGCTAAGTACATATGTCAGCAGACATAAAGTTGCAAACAGAAAAGAAATGTAAAGAAACGGAACAAATATCGACTGAATGTACTGTATCTTACTTTAAATATGGTTTACAATAAAACTCTATTCAAAAACTTGAAGTGTATAAAAAGTCACTTTTTAATATTTAGATAGAGTGGGAAAGATTAGAACCTCTGGCAGGTCTTTATGGCTGTGTCTATGCTGGGGAAAAGCACCCTCATTCTATGTCCGTGAAGATAGTTCCCAGTAAAAAATGTGTTGGTAAAGGAGGTAAGGGGAAATCCTATTCAGGTGACAACTGTCTAAAAGGGATTTCCTCTCAATTTGGAGATATGTCCTATTACTTCCTGCTATGCCACTCAAACAGGAAGTGAAGGAAAATCTCCCCAACTAGGCACAAGCAGAAACAAACATCCTGATAAGGGTCTTATCCATTCCCTAACATATCCAACACAAAAAAAATCGGCTTTACACAATCTTTAAATGCACATTTTAAATACATATACTGTATACAGTAGGTTTAACTGTGACATAATGTGTAATTGTGTTCAGATACATCTAATGCAGTTAGGCACAACAGCTTAGTTGTCATGATTTCCAACATTTTTATGTTGATTTTTTGGTTGCATACAATCTTTTTTTAATTAAATGTTAATAAAGTATATGATCCTTTTTTTACAGTACATTTCTAAATTGAAAGACAAGAACTGCCCACTAAATTATTGACTGCTTAATTTTGTCTTGTTCAAAGTGAACATCTATTCAGTGCCAACTCTGAGGGGCATTGAGAGAAAAGTGCTCCTCTTTTGACTTATTCAGAGATGTACTTTAAACTCCACACATATTTACAACACTAGTTATTCACAGAAGAGCAGTAAGGTTAAACACTTCCAGCCCTTAGGCCATATATATATATATATATATATATATATATATATATATATATATACACACACACACATACATACATACAACATATGTTTCGCTCCATAAGACGTGCCGAGGTTTTAGAGGAGAAAAACAAGAAAAAAAATATTCTGAACCAATGGACTGCAGACATAGTACAGGAAATGACCAGAGACTGCAGACACAGTACAGGAGATGACCAGAGGCTGCGGACATAGTACAGGAGATGACCAGAGGCTGCGGACATAGTACAGGAGATGACCAGAGACTGCGGACAGTACAGGAGATGACCAGAGACTGCAGACACAGTACAGGAGATGACCAGAGACTGCGGACACAGTACAGGAGATGACCAGAGACTGCGGACAGTACAGGAGATGACCAGAGACTGCGGACACAGTACAGAAATGACCAGAGACTGCGGACACAGTACAGGAAATGACCAGAGACTGCGGACACAGTACAGGAAATGAGACTGGGGACACAGTACAGGAGATGACCAGAGACTGCGGACACAGTACAGGAGATGACCAGAGACTGCGGACACAGTACAGATGGCAAGAGACTGTGGACACAGTACAGGAGATGACCAGAGACTGCGGACACAGTACAGGAGATGACCAGAGACTGCAGACAGTACAGGAGATGACCAGAGACTGCGGACATAGTACAGGAGATGACCAGAGACTGCAGACATAGTACAGGAGATGACCAGAGACTGCGGACATAGTACAGGAGATGACCAGAGACTGCGGACACAGTACAGATGACCAGAGACTGCGGACACAGTACAGGAGATGATGAGAGACTGCAGACAGTACAGGGGATGACCAGAGACTGCAGATACAGTACAGGAGATGATGAGAGACTGCAGACAGTACAGGAGACGACCAGAGACTGTGGACACAATACAGATGACCAGAGACTGCAGACATAGTACAGGAGATGACCAGAGACTGTAGACAGTACAGGGGATGACCAGAGACTGCGGACATAGTACAGGGGATGACCAGAGACTGCGGACACAGAACAGGAGATGACCAGAGACTGCAGACAGTACAGGGGATGATCAGAGACTGCAGACACAGTACAGGGGATGGCCAGAGACTGCGGACACAGTACAGGGGATGACGAGAGACTGCAGACATAGTACAGGAGATGACCAGAGACTGCAGACACAGTACAGGGGATGACGAGAGACTGCAGACATAGTACAGGAGATGACCAGAGACTGCGGGCACAGTACAGGAGATGACAAGAGACTGCAGACAGTACAGGGGATGACCAGAGACTGCAGAAAGTACAGGGGATGACCAGAGACTGCAGACAGTACAGGGGATGACAAGAGACTGTGGACACAGTACAGATGACCAGAGACTGCAGACAGTACAGGGGATGACCAGAGACTGCGGACACAGTACAGCGGATGACCAGAGACTGCCAACACCGTACAGATGACCAGAGACTGCAGACAGTACAGGGGATGACCAGAGACTGTGGACCTTTGGGGAGGGAGAGGGAGCGGGTAGCTGAATTTGAGAGGTACCCACTCCCACTTCCGCAGAGTTGTCCTCCCTTTAGTGACAGCCGAGCCATTCAAAGTGCAACGCTTCTCGCACATGCGCAGCGGGCACAGCCGGGTGACCACACTAAAGATGCCGGCATGGGAAGACTGTACAGAAGACATTTTCCCCCCTTTTATGGGGGGAAAAAAGTGCGTCTTATGGAGCAAAAATACAGTATATATATATATATATATATATTTACAGTGAGGAACAGAAGTATTTGAACACCCTGCGATTTTGCAAGTTCTCCCACTTAGAAATCATGGAGGGGTCTGAAATTCACATTGTAGGTACATTCCCACTCAGAGAGACAGAATTTAAAAAAAAAATTCAGGAAATCACATTGTATGATTTGTAAAGAATGTATTTGTCTTGCACTGCTGAACATAAGTATTTGAACACCTGAGAAAATCTGTGTTAATATTTGGTACAGAAGCCTTTGTTTGCAATTACAGAGGTCAAACGTTTCCTGTAGTTCTTGACCAGGTTTGCACACACTGCAACAGGGATTTTGGCCCATTCCTCTACACAGATCTCCTCTAGATCTGTCAGGTTTCGGGACTGTCACTGAGCAACACGGAGTTTCAGCTCCCTCCAAAGATGTTCTATTGGATTTAGGTCTGGAGACTGGCTAGGTCACTCCAGAACCTTGATATGCTATTTACGGAGCCACTCCTTGGTTTTCCTGCCTGTGTGCTTCGGGTCATTGTCATGTTGGAAGACCCAGCCACGACCCATCTTCAATGCTCTGACTGAGGGAAGGAGGTTGTTGCTCAAAATCTCACAATAAATGGCCCCATTTATCCTCTCCTTAATACAGTGCAGTCGTCCTGTCCCCTTCGCAGAAAAGCACCCCAAAGCATGATGTTACCACCCCCATGCTTCACAGTAGGGATGGTGTTCTTGAGATGCAACTCATCCTTCTTTTTCCCCCAAACACGACGAGTGAAGTTTAGACCAAAAAGTTCTACTTTGGTCTTATCTGACCACATGACTTTCTCCCATGCCTCCTCTGGATCATCCAGACGGTCATTGGCAAACTTCAGACAGGCCTGAACATGTGATGACTTGAGCAGGGGAACCTTCCGTGCAATGCATGATTTGAAACCACGACGGCATAGTGTTCTACTGACAGTGGCCTTTGAAACTGTGGTCCCAGCTTTCTTCATGTCATTGACCAGCTCCTCCCTTGTAGTTCTGGGCTGATTCCTCACCTTTCTTATCATCAGTGATACCTCACGAGATGAGATCTTGCATGGAGCCCCAGTCCGAGGGAGACTGACAGTCGTCTTTAGCCTCTTCCATTTTCTAACAATTGCTCCAACAGTTGATCTATTTTCACCAAGCTGCTTGGCAATTGCCCCGTAGCCCTTTCCGCCTTGTGGAGGTCCACAATTTTGTCTCTGGTGTCTTTTGACAGCTCTTTGGTCTTGCCCATGGTAGTAGTTGGCGTCTGACTGACTGTGGGGTGGACAGGTGTCTTTAAAGAGCTCAGACAGGTGCTACTAAGTTAGATTAATGAGTGGAGTAGAGGTGGACTTTTTAAAGGCACAGTAATAGGTATTTGAGAGCCAGAATTCTTGCTGTTTCTTAGGAGTTCAAATATTTATGTTCAGCAGTGCAAGACAAATAAATTCTTTAAAAATCATACAATGTGATTTCCTGAATTTTTTTTTTTACAATGTGAATTTCAGACCCCTCCATGATTTCTAAGTGGGAGAACTTGCAAAATCGCAGGGTGTTCAAATACTTCTGTTCCTCGCTGTATATATATATATATATATATATATATATATATATATATATATATACACAGTTGTGTTCAAAATAATAGACATCACCAACCTGATCAATCACTGTTTTTGGTAGAAATGATATTTCTACATGGCACATAATTTACTAGCAGGTGTAGTAGAGTAATAGAAATCTAACAGACCCAACAGTCATGACATGCATGCTGCAGATTCTGTGTAATTGAATCACTAATTGAAAGGGGCATGTTCAAAATAATAGCAGTGTGGAGTTCTACTAGTGAGGTCATTCATTCTTTGAAAAACAGGTGGCAATTATTGCCCTTATTTAAGGAAGGAAGGCAGCAAAAGTTGTACATGCTGGTTACAGTGCATTTCTCTCTGAAATTCTGAGGAAAATGGGTCGTTCCAGACATTGTTCAGAAGAACAGCGTACCTTGATTAAAAAGTTGATTGGAGAGCGAAAAACTACCATTCGAATGGATAGAAGAATAGCCAAAATGGCAAGGACTCAACAATCAGCTCCAGGAAGATCAAAGAAGGTGTAAAGTTACCTGTGAGTACTGTTACAATTAGAAGACGCCTATGTGAAGCCAAGCTATCTGCAAGAAGCCCCCGCAAAGTCCCACTGTTGATAAAAAGACATGTGCTGAAGAGGTTACAATTTGCCAAAGAGCACATTGGCCTAAAGAGAAATGGTGCAACATTTTGTGGACTGATGAAAGTAAGATTGTTCTTTTTGGGTCTAGTGGCCGGAGACAGTTTGTCAGACGACCCCCAAACACTGAATTCAAGCCACAGTACACTGTGAAGACAGTGAAGCATGGTTGCACAAGCATCATGATATGGGGATGTTTCTCATACTACGGTGTTGGGCCTATTTATCGCATATCAGGGATCATGGATCAGTTTGAATACATCAGAATACTTGAAGAGGTCATGCTGCCTTATGCTGAAGAGGAAATGCCCTTGAAATGGGTGTTCCAAGAAGACAACGACCCCAAACACACCAGTAAATGTGCAACATCTTGGTTCCAGACCAACAAGATTGACGTTATGGAGTGGCCAGCCCAATCCCCGGATCTTAATCCAATAGAAAACTTGTGGGGTGACATCAAAAATGCAGTTTCTGAGGCAAAACCAAGAAATAGAGAAGAACTGTGGAGTGTAGTCCAATCATCCTGGGCTGGAATACCTGTTCACAGGTGCCAGAAGTTGGGTGACTCCATGCAACACAGATGTACAGCAGCAGATCTCAGAAATAGTGCTTATACAACTAAATATTAATTAAGTGATTCAAAGGAAAGCAAAATCTTCAAACATTTTTCAGTTTATATAGTGAATGTTTGATTTTGTAAAGAAGAATACAAACACTGCTATTTTTTGAACAGTCTAATATTCACTTTTCTTCAATGTTTTTTTAGAGGAACAACACAAATTTGATATATTTTTCTTCATGTTTTGATTTGGAATAGAATGTGTAGTGTTCCCAATGCATTTGTGTGTATGGAAATATAAGCTATTAGAAGGATTTTGAGCTTTATTCACTTTTTTCAACACACTGCTATTATTTTGAACACAACTGTATATATATATATATACACACACACTAATATATATATATATGGCCTCAGGTGGAAGTGGTTATACCAGAATCAGCTGCCATGGTCCTGGTATCAACATTTTCAGCCGCTGACCAGCTTTCATGTAAAAGCTTTCTAGAGGCTCCACAACTTCCCTATCACTTTTACAGAGTGTAGATGGGCACCCCCCTCTCGACCCGCCCAACATTCCCGGGCTTTTCTGTGCAATCGGGGAGCCCAGGACTGCTGCATGTGGTCTGTTCAGCTCCAGACAGAGAACAGGCAGTATTGCACCACTTCTGGTTTTGGCTGTTTGTTTACTGGCTAATCTTGTTTTAATCAGCTACTTTGGAGAGCAGAGTAGAGATTAGGGGTCAGTGTTATACTACTTCAACACTGTATAATTCCATGGTCAAAATGTAAAAATTTTTTCATCATGGGACACTTAATCGGTTCAATTCCTGAGAATCGAAACATAATTTTCTGCTCCATATATGTCTGGGGTAATTTACATGTCATGACATATATCAAACTATTTGACCTATATTGCTTGGTGAAAGCTAAGAATTCACATTACTATTTCTGACTCTTGTTATGACCTGTTTATTTTGTTATAGTTCCTTATGGAACATACCAGCACTGTATAATCTCACATCAGTCAGTTTGACTATTTCCATTATTAAAGCACTGCAATCCGGATTGCTTATCTTTCACTGTTTTTAATTATGTGTTCAGTGGTTGTGTGTGTCACTGTTAACGGATATCACTTTTTGTCCCTGCAATGGGATAAATAAAAATATGTGGTTTTACATGTGAGCTATATTGCATGGGTAGTCATTACCTACTTTGGCTGTTTGCGTCATGCAA